AGCGCAACAATGGATTTGATTTTGTCATACATGAAAACATTTCTTCGTTTCTCTGCCATCGCCACTCACAAATTGATTAGCCTTTTATCTACAAAAAGTTGATTCAATTTCAAAAATTTATTAGCTTAGTATGTCAGTCAAGTTTGAAGCAAGCCGAGTTAATTAGATGTACCAAAACAATCGAATATTTGATTAAATATACGATAATAAAGCGAAAATTTAATAATCCAGATGTTACAGGAAATAATATAGAAGCCCGAATTTAAAGCAAAAGTCCCTCGCTAGATCTTTATTGAGTGAGAATTTACAACTGATCCACATGCTGCATACAAGAAAGACTTTTTATATAACATCACCCTCGAGTGCTAAAAATCAGATTTACAAACATAAAAGAAAAGAGCTATATGCCTCCTTTTAATGATGGCGGGGCCTTATTGGCTCAATAAAACGGAATTGTACAAAAGCGCACTTTAATGATAGCCGTATAAAAATGGTAAATTTTATCTGGCGTTGTAAAAAACGAATAAAAGATTTGCCTTAACTCTCTGAACGAAGAGGGAAATTGCTTCTAAAAGCGTGGAGTATTGCTAGGCAAGTATTTACATCAACTATATTTTACACGGTAGCCTTATTTATTAAACTCAAGTAGGTAGTTTTAAATTGTCATCAGGGGTTTATATTCACCTAAAATGTTGTTGATTCTGAGATGTACTATAATAGAAGTTTATTTCTGCTCTGAGAAATTTACTAGTTGAGTTCGGAATTAAACATTCCAGTAAAGTCTATGATAAGCCTATGAAGACTTTATGAAAACTTCTGACATAAAACTGGACTGTATCAGTTTTTCAACTGCATAATTTTAAAATTGAAATTGTTAGATATAACGCAATCAAAAAGTGTGAAATCTCCTAAAACGAATACAAACTTCCATTCTAACCAGAAAATGAAAATAATTCAGTAACGAAGTAAATGAAAATACGTAATATAAATATTTTGTCGTGGTGATAAGTGGATCTGATTACTCGCAGGAACATAAGCAGTCCTTAAGAAAAGTGGCTTTTGCTTTCTCTAGTTCTCACAAATATTAAAACAATTATTTCCATAAATTCTTACATTAACCAGAATGAAAAATGTATTATTGCCATTCTTCCATAAGCCGCAATAGTTGTGCTTACTATCGAAAAAAGTAAATTTAAGCTTTGTTTCTTAGAACGACTAATATTTAATGTTCTGTTGGACATCAATTAAAATTTTCTTTAAAAGCATATTTTTCAGCCCCAAACCTGGAAAGGCGGAAAATCTCTAATTTACCTACTGGAATCTTTTTAGATGGATTGGAAAGCAAACCGTAGATCTTTTAAACGTTCCTCAATATATCCAGATCTAAGCTCATACGTTTTGTTCACATCAAATAAAAACTTATTACAACCAAATCTGAAAAGAACCGAAAGATAGAATAGATTGCTTGTACGAATCATTTAGCAGATTTAATTACATATCAGATTTTGTTAATTAAATAAAAATGTATTTGTATTAATTGAGCAAACTTTACCCAAGTTGTAAGAAGTATATCCGTCTGTTTTAGCTCAACAAGGAAAAACCAAATTGTCTAAAAGCTCAAGATTAAATAAAAAATTATTACCAAGCAAGAATTGCGAAAACTCTAGAATAATACCAAACACAAGAATTCTTTGCTTCACTAAATTTCAAAATAAATGCATTTTTATTGAAAACAGTACAAGCGCAATGAAACGTCAAAATTATCTTTTTTTACTGCACTTTTAGAGACAAACTGTTGCAAAAATGAATCAATTAAAAGGCAAAAGGTGTTTCCGACGGAAAATAATTTTTATATAAATAAACTTCTGACTTTATGTACACATACATTTACTAACTTACTTTATGAGAGTGTTGACTTAATAAATTAAAAATCTATAAGCACATGTAGAATCTTTATATGGTTTGGTCAAACATGAGCAATGCTATTGCGGGTTTTTGAAAATAATTATCCGCATTTTTTCTAATCTTATTAAAACTTGGTTCGAAAATTGCGACTAAGTGTTGGGAGAGTCCAACCCGATTAAGGACCAGCAAAGAACTTTTCCGCCCCAGACGTTGCCCTCATTAATTAAACTGAGATTGCCTTTCCCGCAACACTTGACACGTTTTCGGTCGCTCTCTTAATTAACGTATACGCCTGTAGTTTGCCGACTCTTACTTTTATGTGGACTTTTCTGAGGGAGCCAATTCTCTACTTGAGACCCAATAACAAGCCGATAATGAACACCATTCAATTAAACTCCATTTTGAGCAAAAAATTCCTTGTGAACTCTGCTTCGAAACCAAGAGGTTTCTTGAAGGACCGACATCTTTGTAGTGAATAGTCTAAATAAGAGCTCGAACTGTCAATTTTTTTCTGAACTTTTATAACTATTATTTTTTTATGCGGTAAGACCGCAATGATTGATCGATCGCTATTTTGTTTTTAATATCAGTATGTCGCTCTTTCATTTATTTTGCATATTTTTACGCTTTAACATAAATAAATATTTATTTATGTTCTACCAAATCTATCTATCTATCTATCTAAAAGCTAATCAGACATTGAAATATTTAAATATGCAGAACTAGGCAAAAAATGTTGTTAAAAGTTAACGAATAATATAAACGAATAAAATTGAAAATAAAACAAAAATTAATTGTGGAAAATATGTCCTCTCTATCTAAAAATATGTAAAAATTTTCGATTTTTTAAGACGTAGTAATTTTTAAATAAATGTTAGAAATTATATCACAATGGTAATAATTGTTAAGTGAAAATTTACAAAACGCTCTACATTCAGTAAAACTACTTTATTTGTGAAACTTTCTACCTATTAAAAATACGGTTGATTATCGTTTGATAGCGACATGTTTGCTACTGAAAATTTTCTGAACAAATTTAAAAAATATAAATTGTAATTATACTCCATAGAAAAACGTATATTTGTGTTCTCACTATTATCTGAGACCGTTTTACCGAATGAATGTACAATTATGGTGGAATGAAACTGAACACCAGCTTAAACATTTCTTGGAAACAGTATTCAATAACATGTGTTTTTTGAAATAACTCTCGACCATTTTCTGTGTATGAGTGGAAGAGCACACATTTTTTCAATACTCATAAAACAAAGAGAACAAAGTAACTGAATGCAACTGAAAGTATTTGTGTGGGCGCGGGAGTACTGCTCGCTTGATCAAATTTTGTTTCAAAGTAATTCTAATAAAACCTTTCCAATTAATATTTTATCACTGTAAACGAGCATATTTTTTATAAAATTACATTTAAAGTAGAAGCTAGTAGTAGTAAATTATCCATTAACAATTCTTATATTTTTAAACATCAGCATAAGCACACTTTGCGAACGTGCGCGAAAAGAAGTTTGGGCGCCAATAGCTGTTATAATTTTTCCTTATGTCTTCCTTTTCGATATTCCCTGTAGGAAAAAAGTTTAAAATTTTTACTAAAAAACAGACATATTGTATATTTATTACTAAAAGTATTGCCGAAACTAGTAGCGATTCTGCAAAATTGTGAGAAGACCATCATAAACGCACTGCGTTTAATTTATCCATTTCAATTTTGTCAAATATGTCTCTAATACAAACACGTTCTGAAAGCCTTCATATTAGAAAATCCGTGTATTAACAAGAAGACATGCTAAGAAAATATAATCTAAAAATGCATGCAAAAAATGTCTACTTCTATAAAAATGTAGGTGAAATATTGCGCACTAAGTAAATGAATATATTTTCAGACAATTTTGTTCTGAAAATTAACTCAGACGAGCTTATTCCATCAAAAACAGATTTTCAATTCAAAATATAACTCAAATTAATTGAATTCTTAAATTACTTAATAATATAAACCGAAATAAAAAACGAAAACTAGTGTAATTTGTGCATAGTTCTTATTATCAAATTCTTATCAGAACTGAAATTAATAATAAAGTTGAATCGAAAATCCTTGAAAAGTTTTACATGCGTTTTAAAACTTTTAGGTGCACACGAAAACTGGAAGTCGGTTGAATTATACTTTGTCGTGATGTCCGGTTAGGTTTTAAATTGTAGTTGTTTACTTTTTATCGTGAAGTAAATATTCTTAAACTTTACATTTTTTGGGGGACTAAACAAAGCAAAACCATTAACTTTATCTGTCCTTGCACTAAAGAGCTCTTTACTACACGCAAATTGATTTTTGTCGGTGCACTTGACAATGGTAAAGTTTGATTAAATTCATTTAATGTTCATGTTCACATAAAAAGTTCATATTTCAAGGCTCTGTGGGAACTACTAAGTCCATTTTTCGTTTCGAGATGCAACAGCAAGAAGTAACACAGTTATGAAAAAATAAACTTTAAAAGCGTTGCAGGGATTTGCATTGAACTGAAACGTTTGAAGTAACTGGGTATGTGAAAAAGAACTGTATCGTTTCCGTCTTATCGACTTTAAATATTTATATTTTTAAACAAATAACAAAATAATAATTTCAGTATATAATGCGATCTTGAGTCTAGATTATGATTGATCTCAAGAGATATGACTGCGAATGAAACACATTCTTATTAATATGATCGTTCCAAATTTAGCTGGAAAATTTAAGGAAATTGCTTGAGTTTTTTATTGTTATGGATTTAGTTATTTAAAGTACTAAATTGCTAAAAAGCAAAACTAACCTGCAAAGTTTCGTAGCAACAGGTTTATACACATTGCCTAGTCAATGTGTAGATTAAACATATCCAACGCTCAGATTGACTAGCGCGCACGGCATTTTGCAGATTGTCTAAAATACCGCAGTCAATGTGCAGATTGCCCAAAGTAGTAGCGATTCTGCAAAATCCCTGGCGAGTCGGTCAGTTTGCAGAATGCCTAGGCATTTTGCACATTGCTGGATTTCGTAGATTGCCGGTAACATATATATAAAACTTGCAAGCAGCTCGTAGATGAAGATGGCAAAAGCTTGACACTTGCTGGCAAATGACAACATCAAAAACGATTTCATCATGTAAAACTTCATCGCATCATTCATTCATCGAGTTCAAATTTAAGTATAATGGAAATTGAAGGCCTGGAGCGCAACACTGACATTCTAGATCTTACTGAACTACCCGCAGAAGCCGAGAGTATAGAAATATTGTCCACATCATCGTCTACCCAGAATAACCTGTTGATTACTACCCGAACCATTACATTATCAGAATACTTAAACTCTGCGACAAATAATCTATATTCCGAATATGAGGAGAATTTTAAAAGAGGTGCCTATATTGCTCTGATGATTATATGTGTGATGATCGTTGTTGCTTACGCATATTCTAAACCTGGAACTAGAGTGCAAATTAAATGGAAACGATCGATGCGAAAAATGGTAATATCTCATTTTGTATGAAAATTAAATCAACAATTGTCTCAAATGCATGCATTTTAGAAACGACTGTCCAAAACTTTCTTCCCATCGTTAAAGAGATCCACCTCTGGACTGTATCCATTTCTGCAAGATATGGTAAATGTAGCTCATGTAATTGTAAATCAAATATTTGAATAAATGTTAAGTTCATCATACGGTTACAATGGGTTTAATATACTGAAAGGAGAAATAAATCTGAAATCTGGTACAGATAGACATAGCTTCGACCAGTTAGGGGAAATAAAATACCCCAATGGCAAAGTCTTCAGAATTAAATGTTTCAGTAATTCTGTTAAGCAAAGATCCAATCTCCTTTTTCTCGGAACTGTTAACTCAATCAAGATAGGGCTCGGTGATTGCCCTCTCAAGCAACATTATTTCATTATTTTCTTAGCGATAATTTTCCGGATTTATCCTTTATTCTCCGTTCAGTTTTCCATTACTTGGGCAGTTTTCCGCTCCAGTAAATAAGAGAACGAAATAATAATAACAACAGGTAACGAGTAGACAAATTCACTTTAGATTGAAGTAAGTAGGTGCTTAAATCTTTATAAAATCGCTAGCGCTGAAAATGGATGTACAGAAAAGTGCGTTCTAAAGTATTGAAGGACCTAAAAGACCTTCTATAAGAATATCTATTTTGGAGACAAATGTAAGGAATTTTGTTGAAATTTTAATCACCTTTAAGTGACTCAATCAATAAAAAAATAAATGAGAAATTATTTACATTAATATGTTTTATCGCACTCAAAATTCATGTTGCTTTATATGGAAATAATACACACGAAAATAATACGAACATAATTACAGGCTGAGAAATACTAGTGAACATAAATCAACATTAACATAACATGCACACCAAATGTTACATAATTTTGATTTTGACAATGCAGATATATTAATTAGGGAAACAAATTATCATAAAAGAAGAATTCAAGAAATTATTCAAATAAAGAAACATGCAAAAGCAGTAAATTTCAGATCAGATACCGACAACCTTAGCAACATTTACCAAACCTTAATAAAGCCATAAGTATGGAACACCCGGTGCATTAGTGAAAAATTAAAACTATTTCTGCTTACCTCAATAACATGCATACCACTCTCACAAATGTAGAAAATAATTCAGGCAAACTCAAGGTTTTCAAGAAGGCAAACACATAAAAGGACGTTGATTTTTACCAATCATGAGGTAAGTTTTCCCGGTGTTTTGCTCTCCTAAAAGGAAGAATTTGTTCCCTTCAAAAACTGATGAATGTTTTAACACTTTGTAAATTATAATTTTTATACAACATGTTTTAATTGTAAATTGGTGTTTATAGTTTGTGTAAATTTTAAAACTGATGATGGCGCTGTTGTCTCGCCGAAACATAATGAAATAAACGATGTTTCAAAAAATGTTTACTTCACACTTTGACTGAGACCCAGGAAAGATAGGAATTTCATAACAAGTACACGCAGTCAGGCAAATAAATCAGAATTTATATGGAAATCAACAAAGTTAACATTAAAAATTAAATTAAATTTGCATTAAAATAGAAAGAAAACATTGTTTTGAGAAATTTCAGTTCACATAAATTTTTAGTTCTTATTACAACTTAGAACGATATTAATTCTCCATTTTGGAAGCTAAAAAACAATAATTTTGTATTTTAGTGTTGTTTAACTGCTTATCATCTCTTTAAAACTTAACGATAAAAAAGTGAAAGAAATTTAAAAAGTATTCTTCAAGCTAGTACTTGACACGAATTTTCTTTAATTCACGGGTAATTTTAATCATGGGAAAGTTTGAGTTTTTTGCGCCATTTAACAAGATGAAATAGATAGAAGCGAATGGAGTGGAATTTAAATTAGTTTATAAAATAAACTAGAAAATTGAGCAATAAAATAAGGGTTTCTATTGTTTTTAAGCCAATTCATATTCCGATCATCACGTCAGGACCACTATATGTGTTGCAACGAATTACTCATCATCATCATCATCATCATTAGACCACAACATTTAAGGGAGTTTTCTGCCAGCCATATGAAATTGAAATTCACATAGGTTTGCTGTACTCTGAATATGTTAACGGTTTGTCGATGTTTTACTTCAAACAAGAATAAAATGGCAACTTTTTTATTTTAGACGCTTACCTTCTGAAACAGGCCATTTGTATTCTATTGATAAAATAAAACAGATTTTGCCTTTATAGCTAAATGTAGTTGATAGCCACTCATGTTGGCTAGTTGAAACACTCAAAACAATTCGGATTTTAACACTCTTGCTTGTGAAGGCAGAAGTTTGGCATTTTAGCCAAACTTCAATGTGCAAGTAAATGGGTTTGTGCTAAAAATATTATCTACTTAATCAAGATAATACTAGAAAATCTGGTATTATTAAAGAGCCATATTTTTGTGTCTGATGTGGCATCTTGATTTAATTGGAAAACAAGTAGATCATTTTCAAAGCTTGCGAAATAGTACAAATAATAATCTGCAACTTATCTGTTGATAATGATAATGATTTCAATAAAAATTTCATATATAGTTTACGATTCAATAAATTTCACGTAATAGACGAATAAATGCATTTTTATTGCAATTATAGGAACGATAATCGTCCATCTACGCTGACAATAAAATCGTTCCAGGACAATGAAAACATTTTTTTCCTCCCCGAATCAAAATTCGAATAACCCTGCAGGCGGGGCTGACACAAGAATTTATGGATATAGGGAATGCCACTGCTCCAGACCTAAATTATTGGGTCAAGAGCACACAAAAAATCTTAACGACCGGAATTCCGAGATGTATATAATATCCTGCACAGAATTGTTATTTGGAGTTGCCTTGAAGATTTCTGAGCGTGAAACATCGCTCATCGGATGGTCCATTTGCACAACAGGACTCTTTAAATGACTCGTAAATTAAAGCAATGAAAAGGGTTGAACTTTCGTCGTTATTTACCCTTGTCAGATTCGAATTAACTGGATTTATATTTTTATTTGTCGCAGTTTCCGCTCGACATGGTACGGAATCATCGGATCCGTTAACGCTTCATGATTTTTGTCTGAGAATTATTAAATTAGCCGTCTTGGCTTCGTTTTACGCTCGACATAAATTTATAGCAATTAATTAAAAGGCAAAAGGAATCTACCAGATATAAGAGATAATGTCGTAGCTTTTGCTATCTAATTGGATACTATGTTTGCCCAAACATTTAGGCGATAACTGGAAAACGTAAGAGCGGTTTTGCAGGATAAAATTTTCAATGGTAAAACTCAACGAAAAATATACGATAAACAATTTTTGAGAATTGGTTCCGAGTTCATTAACTTAAAAATGTTTATAAAATTGCACTTGGTTTATGAAAAAGTATTCAATTAAAAAGAGAAAACTTTAAGATTTGCTTCTTGACCAAATTTTAATTGACTCTCAGATTTTTCAGTTGCTCAGTTGCGTCAAATAAAATCCACTGGCAAAAGGAGCATTTGTTGACGATTTCCAGTCAAACACAACAACTTCATTCAAAAATACAGCCAAACACAATATGAAACTCGCTTGCTACAGTTAAAGTAAATATGCTTTTTTATTCTTTCTGAAGACAATTCTTTAAAAACAGGTCTCAGTAAAACAGGTTTGTATGATTTAGAATGATCCCATTTTTGCAAAATTGACACACTTTATAAAAATATTGTATATGTTATTAGCATGAATTGATTGGCCACAACCTTAATTCCATCTTCTTTACCCATGAACTTCCGTAAGACAGAAGTTTCGTACAGTTTTTGCATAAGTTGTTCCATTCGCTTCTTTGTTCGCATCATCAGTCAATTGTTGGAGAGCAAAATGTTTTACAGGTTCGGCATTAATCAGCTTTTTATTTCATTATCTCCTTAACGGAGGTACGTTGAAACGTTTTCGTCTTCAAACGGTGAAATTCTATATTTAATTATTATTAGGAAAATCATTTTTTGGATTAAATAAATAAATTCACTCTCAGTAAATCAAGCCCACATGTTCACTGTGTTCAATACAAGCTGAAGTAAAGTAAGAAAGTCTGTTTTCTTTAGTTAAATCTTCATTTTTCACTCCAACTCGTATTTGACGTTGAAGACCTATCATCTTCAACTGCGCCCTAACAAGCTCCGTAAAGAGGCTCTTTAAATGTTTAAGTACAATTTGTTTCATTGTAGGCAACCAAAGGTTTTTCTCAAAGTATCTGATGCCAACAGCTGCTCATTTGCTTTATTATACATATATCACATAAACGTTACAAAATATCAACTTTTCTTGCTTTTATGTAGCTACAAAAGATAGCTTACATTACATAATTATATACTTAAAAGAAGTGATTAAAATACGTTGAAATCTGAACCTCTAAWAGTGTTCTTTTGGTAAAATCATCGGAAAATTAAWAGCAAAAGTGGACTAAAGCTAAACAAGAATCATAAAACTGATCAGACAACTATTAATATTAGCTGAAATGTGTTCTATATCATTTGGAAGGTCACRTATAAATATAAAAATATAAAAGAAAAAGTGAAGRACATGAAAAAATGATGGAAAGATAACTAATACGTAATAAATTACTATGTTGAAAACATTTTGCCCTTGTATAATTATGTGCCAATTGAGCTTATATTGTCTTTTGGAATGAAAAATCGATAAATGAGTTAAAAATGTCCCACTGATAGTCACTTAATTGCCTGGATCATATTAGAGGCCCGATCTTCCCGCTCGTGCAAAAGGTCGCAAATAAAGGAGTCCAAGGTAATCAGAGATACGTGGTTTCTGCAACGTAATTTGTTTTCACAGTCGAAACACGCCTTAATCCCTAGTATTTTGCCAAAGGGCACGTTCGAAATTTTTATTCACCGGGATTGTCGACCAGATAGCTGCACCAATATTATTTCTGCGATACGTTCCGGGGATTTCGAGCAAGACCATGTGTGACTATAATCCACTTATTAGGTTGGGAAAATGCTTTCCTAAGACTCCGAGATTACCGCGAAAACGGATTTTAAAGGAAATTGGGACAATATTTTGACAGAGCAAAAGATGAGAAAAATATTCGATTATCTGGGCCAGCGAAAAGATCAATCCTGCAGAGCATGTTATTTGCTTTTATGTCGAAGATTTTACGATGATCATTGCAAACAGATTGAGATACTTAACA